GTATCCATTCATAGAACTTGTGGAACAAGGTCCCCAAACATCTGAATGTACCAAGTCAAATGCATGAGAACTTCTATGACCAGAACTAACATAAGAGCTTCTAGTAAGCTTTCCAAACTCACATGCATCACACACAAGTTTCTGTTTAGTTGCTTTCTCAAATAAAGAAGGATACAATCTACCTAAAACACTGAAGGATTAGTGTCCCAAACGCTGGTGATGAAGTATTAACTCATTTTCATCACTCATATTAGATCCTACTCTTGCTTCCTCTATGACTGACACCAATGCTGAATCCAGCCTTTCACGATCCAGATACCACAGTCTACTATGCCATGTGTCAGTCCTAAGTCTCCGCCCTGTCCCATTCTCCTGAAAAATCACCTTGTGAATATCAAAAGAAATAATGCATTTTAGTTGGAGTATGATAGAACTAATGGACAAAAGATTGACTAGAAAGGAAGGAGCATGCAAAACATTGGACAAAGTTACAGAACCAGTACAATCGACTGTATCCTTACCAACCACTGGCTGAAATGTACCATCACCTATTTGAATACTATCAGGCGATGCTAAGTGAGTATATGATGAGAACTCACTAGCATTACCTGTCACATGGCGAGACGCACCGGAGTCGACTATCCATGCTGATGATCTGTCGGGAGACATAAAAGCAAGAGTATGTATGTCATCAGTACCTTTGGTCGGATGAACATATGTTGCAGTGTTGCCTCTGGCGAAGAATGAAGTGGATCCCTCCTCAGTCCCATCCCCTGCTACTTGCTGCTTCCTCCTGAGTATCGCCAGAAGAGCACGATCCTCCTCAGTAAAGACCACCTCAGCTTCTTCTTCCTCTGCTACTGTCAGATTCGCCCGGTTCCCTGCTCCTTTTCCACCTCGTCGACCCTCACGGCCACGACCACGACCTCCGAACTGTCCACGTCCACCCGAATCTCCTTCCTTGGGTGGCTTGGTGCAAGCATGACTTAGATGACCTACCGCACCGCAGTTGTAACACTGTCGGGTCTCTCCCCTAGATCCAGTGTTGCTAGAGGCTACCAGTGCTGACTTCACCACAGGAAGTCCACTTGTCCCCGCCTGCAGCCGAATGCGAGTCTCCTCCTGGATCATAGTAGAGACAGCCTCCTCAAGCGTGGGAATCTTCGGCTGAGCTAGCAGCAGGGCGATTCGCTGAGCGAACTCTGATGTCAATCCTTTGAGAAATACCATAGTCCTCTCCTGTAGAAAGGCCTCCCGTTCTTTACATCCCGGGTCCTTGCAACTCGCCCGAGGTGAGAAGTGATCATAATCTAGCCACAACCGCTCCAGTTTTGTGGCATACTCCTGTACAGTCCTATCTCCCTAGACTGTGGCATCGATCTCACCCTTAATCTGGAACACCCTCAGGTTATTCCCCACTCCATCATAGGTCTTCCTCAACTTTTCCCAGACGTCCTTCACCTTCTCAATACCATCCACTGTGGCGGCGATCGACTAGACCAACGAGTTGAGAAGTCAGATGTATACCAACATATGAGTGGCCTTCCACTCATCTCTTCCCTCCGATTCCTCATCCGGCTCTGTCACCTCTCCTGTCAGATAACCCTCCAGGTTCCTCCCTGCAAGGGTGTATCTCACCCGCCGTGACCAGCTCAGGTAAGTACCCGGTCCATCAAGCTTCAGATCTATGGTAGGAAGTTCCAACTTCTTGGATGGTTTTGTCGCGCTCTCACCAGCCGACAACTTCATCAGCTTCATCAAAGTTAACACCTCCGCGGGGTTCAACTTCTTGATAATCTCCTCCATTGATCAAGCTTTAGACCCAACACCTGGTCACCTTCTCTTCCGACCCTTGTTGTGTGCAGTGAAAATTTCGGCAGCACCTCTGCCGCACAACAAGAGTAAGATCTCAAACAAATTCTCATTTCTCAGAGGAAACAAGAATAAAAAACAGTGATATATCTCAAATCGTCGTGAGATATATACCTTCCTGTGTCAATCAGTATCTGAGGACTGAGTCTAGGGAACCATGCCAAACTCCTGGCCGCATAGCGCAGCACAGAAGGGGATTCGGCCAAAGGGGGGGGGTTTCAAACGGCAGCAAAAAACAGAGAAGGGTGGGGGGGTGTTGTGTACAGGGCTTATCGGTGGGCTGGTTGTGGACAGGGGTGACCGTTAGGGGGGCTAACTTGGGGCCTGATCTCGGAACAGGGAGGGGGGGTGGTCTCGAACAGGGGAGGGGGCTGATCTCGGAACACAGGGGGCTGGTCTCGTGAACAGGAACAGGAACAGAGGGGGTCTGTTAGGTTGTGTGGGGGGGTCTGCAGAGTCGGAAGGGGGGATCTGCAGGGGGGATCCGGAAAGAGGGGGGAGGCGGAAGGGGGGGGGTCTGCAGGTTGGGGGGGTCCTGCAGAGGCGAGAGGGGAGGGGGATCTGCATGTGGGGATCCGGAAGAGGGGGAGCGGCCAGGAAAGGGTGGGTGGGGTTTTGGCGGCTAGGGGTTTGCTCTGATACCAAGTAGAATTGAAACCCTAATCTTATTACTCCATAGGATGGGCTTATATAGGCCCTTACAACACAACTTACAAATAACACCCTATCTATTACTAATATATCAATAGATTGCATCAATCCAAGCCAAACTAACACAGTTTTGTTGAGACAGATATTAACAACAAACTATTCCATCTCAGAAATAAAGAAATTACAAAATCCTGAATTTATCACAAAAATTTCACTAAAAAGAAGAAATTGTACCTTAGTTTGATGAATTTGCGCAAATCAAGCACCAAAAATAATATTTCTCCAAGAAAAGAGCTGCCTTTTTGGTAAGATCCAGCAAAAAATCAAAAATCTGAGGAACGGAGGCATGATAAACCAACAAAATCAGATCGAGTAGAAAATTAACAACTCAAGGAACCGAGGAGCGAAGAGAGTGAATAAAACGAGGGAAAGTGGCGGTAACCCTAGCCTTCAAGAGCTTTTCCCCAATAAAACCCACAATCTGATAATAGTATAGCAAAAAATCGATTTTTACCGATTTTCTCGCGTTTTGAAAGGAAATGGGGGAAGGGGAAGAGCTGAGGTGGATGAGCTTTATGCAGCTGGAAGCTCGAAAGGAGGAAGCGGACCAAAGTGAGACAAAGAAAACCCTAGAATGGGTTTAGCTGAGGTGGAAGCGGTGTCAGGACAAAGATTCTTGTTTCTTTGTTGTTATAAAGCGAACCAAACAGCTCCTTATGGGATTCTTGTTTAGATTTACTACATCCCCTATGAGTTTAAATCAATTGAAAATCCCGAGGGAAATCTTCTTAGAAGCTGGCACCCTATAGAGCCAATTGAGATGACACGGTTAAGGGAAGGATTTTCCGAATTTTTAAACCTGGAAAACTTGCAGATTGAAACTATAAGAAATGACGAAGTATGGAAATAAATTTTATTTTCTTGAATAAAAATTTATCGTCGCCAATTTAGAGTAAGGGAACATATTGATGTTGATTTATCGATGATTATGTTAGAGTGTTACAAATTGATATATGACGTGCACATTTGGATGTCCCACAAATTGCTTTAGTTGTATACCTACCTTTGTTGACTTGTTGCTAACTTATCTGGGCATTCATGTCACCTTGTCTGGAAAAAGAAATTGTCTTCACTTTCTTTTTGTAATCATGGAACAATTTTGCCATCCCGATATTGTCGATAAGATGCAAGCCGTTGATATTTACATCTACAGTTCTCAAGTAGTTGGAAATGTGTTTTGATGTCATTCTTTGACTTGTTCCCTGGTCTTGGCTTATTTCCTAAAATCCAAATGCTCTTATTTGGCAGTATATTATATTTTAAGCTTGTCTTTCAGTAGCAGAAAATGGTCAATGTCTTAGTTGACCTTCTAGATCCAGAGTTCTCCTTTCTTCAGTTAGAATTAAGAAGGCCGGGAGAGAGTTTTTTTTGGTGGTGGGGTTGAGGGGTTGCATTTCAGGGTTATTGCTCATCTTTATTAATCCATATAAAAGAATAGAAGCTAAACTACTTTAAATAGGCAGTATCAACTTTCATAGGAACCAATTTATGAACATGTACCAAGATGAGGAAAGAAGAATGTTGGATGACATCTACATGAAAATTTTGTTGTTGCTCTTGAAAAATATTGTTGGTATAAAACCCAGAAGCGTGATACTTAAGATAAAGCCTTTGCTAGTTTCTTGCATAGCCTAAAACCATCATCACAGCCTGAAGAGCTTTCTTTAGCTTATGAAGAAATTAATATTTTGTTTAATTTTATTTTTGTGGTAAAGACAACCATTTACTGGTGTCTGATTTTATTCCAAGTGTTGGAGCAATATGGATTGATAATTATGAGCATCAGGTTTTTTTCTTAATAAAATGCATCCATCTTTTCTGTTTCTCCGTTGCATCAAAATAACACCTTTATTCTCCAAAGTCATGTATTTCCTACATTTTTAAGTACTTCACTACTTGTTTGACCATTTTGTGGATAGCATGTCATGAAAAATTCTTGGAGGAGCAACCTGCTTACATCATTAGATCAGATTATAGTGTCCTTTTCGTGATGGTGTGAGGTACTAAAGTTTAATCCCTAACCAATAAAATTGATTTTCTATCTATCAGATTTCATATTAGTTCTTTTTGGTTAGAATGAACATTGATCCTGAACTCAGTGCAGATAAGTAGATAACCCATATTAAACTATTAAGGTCAATATGTGATTTATCGTGACCCCCTTGACAGCTAAAAACCCTTCAATACTGGCTGTAGTACAAAAAATTGATGTTTTAAACACAAAAACTCACTGCAATTTCTCTCTTATTTCCTGTTGATGCCACAGTCACATGACCACTTCATCCAAAAGCTAATATTATGAGTTATGGCTTAACAATTTGTATCGAGCAAATCAAACATGCTATTTCATGGATTAATTTTTAGAGGGAAGAATACAATCACTTCTTACTAGATATCTAACTTTCTACAATTTTCAGGTGGTTGTGCGCAAATCCAGTATCTTTACCAAGATTTTAACACCAGAGATAGATGTAGTACTGAAAGAATTCGAGGGTGTCTCTTAAATCATCGAGATAGTAATGCAAATTCTACATCTTATGGAAGATTTCATGAGTTGAGTCATGTAAAAGCCTCATCAGGACATCCTTTAGAATCTGCACCTGAAGATTACTCCTCTACTAGCACATGGAGAGCTATACTGGCTTCACTAAATGTTCTCTACCGATTCTCGCGGCCTCATACAGTTATAGGAACAGTTAAGTCGTAAATTAAATTCTAGATATTTTCATATTCTTTAATTAAAAAATAGTTGTTGTTCACAGGCAATGGGCATAGTCTCGGTTTCTCTTTTGGCTGTAGAGAGTTTACCTGATATTTCTCCATTATTTTTTGCTGGAATGTTGGAGGTATTGATCTGCTAGAATTTTTATTTGGTAAACTGAAGAGATTTACCCAGTGGGATATAATTCTTCTCTTTTATCTTGCAGGCAGTAGTTGCTGCACTTTTTATGAATGTTTACATTGTTGGATTAAATCAGTTGTTTGACATAGAAATAGACAAGGTATCCCCTTTGCTAAATCTTTTGGCGAAACCCTAATTTTTACGTATTTCATATCTTACATCAAGTGTGTTTTTTCTACCTCAATTACTTAATATGTGTAGTTAAGCAATGTTTTCCCCTATTAGTTTTCTCCTTTTAAAATTTACTTTTGCTAATATTTGAATTTGACTGTCATCTTTCCTTCAGGTTAATAAACCGGATCTTCCTCTTGCATCAGGAGAATATTCTCTCAAAGCTGGCGTTGCAATTATTACTGCTGCTGCCTTGATGGTAATGAGATTCTTAAGTTGTTAATATGTTCTCCATAAAGCATATTCTAGCAATGCACAGCATTATCTAGGTATGCATGTCAATGATGTTATGCTTAAGATGTCATGAAAAGAGTAAAGAATTTTCTTTTATATTATATTTTTATACATTGATTTAAATATTTGCTAGAAAGCATTACTGATTCCAATTTGATGTTCCAGAGCTTTGGCATTGGATGGTTTGTTGGTTCTTGGCCATTATTCTGGGCTCTGTTTATCAGTTTTGTTCTTGGGACTGCATATTCAATCAATGTAAGTCCGCATTTCTCTCCATTAGTACATTATATGGTTTTTTTGGCCTTTTCTCTTTTCTGTGCGGATTTTCTGATGACCGTCACTAAATTCAGTAAATCAGCGTCTTTACACACTTTGCGTATTTATTCTTTATCATTAAATAAAATTTAGGCTGTGTATCTATCTGAGGAAATTAGAACAGGGTCCGATAATATGTCTTTGTTGAGACTAGTTACAGATAGAAATAAAGGTTACCTCTATTTTGATCTATAACCAGCTAATATCATGATTCTTGCTAATTGGTCATTACTTTATTATGATACAAAGTGTTCGGCATATCAGGAAGTGTATCGGGAAAACATAGCAGTTGGTATGCTCTTTATCTTGAACTTTAGGCTTGTACCCTCATCCAATGCCTTGCAAGATCTGGACAAGTTAAAGCCTATTTTAAATCCATAGAAAACCCTATGATCCCCACTACATACATACAAACATACATACACATGTGCGCGTGTGCGTGCGCGAGCACGCGCGTGTGTATATACATACATATATAAATATGTGTGTGTGTATGAATTCATACATACATACGTACATACATACATACATACGTACATATATACATACATACATACACATATCTCTCTCTCTCTCTCTCTCTCTCTCTATATATATATATATATATATATATATATATATATATATATACACACACATATATATATATACACACATATATATATATATATACACATATATATATATATGTATATACGTATGTATATATGTATATACGTATGT